AACTACACCTGAAAATATTGTGAGGGTCTTGGCAGGGGTGAGACCTATTGGATGAAATGCCAGCACTACCATTCAATGTTGGAAACTGTAACAGACAAAATGCCACAACATGTTGTGAAATACACATATGATGGCATACAAGTAAAATGTTTTGTATGCACCAATAGCCATACTAAAAAATGTGTTTATTATGACATCTCACTATTTTAACTGAAAACATTCATAGCTCTTCTGTACTTAGCAGGGGTTCCTCGTGATATTCACAGGAATATAAAAGACGTATGGGTATGGACCTTGAAGTTTGTAGAATAACAATGACACTGCAATTTGGTTTTCTTTTAGTACAAAAGTTCCTTTGTACTAAATCCTCAACAAACCTGAAGCCTGAGATGATAACTTTTTACAACAAAACCAAAGACAGAGTAGATGTCGTTGATGAGTTATACAACAACTACGATGTCACTTGAAATAAAAAGTGTTAGCCAATGGCTGTGTTTTGCTCTATCCTAAACATGTGGCATAAACAGTTTGATAGTTTACAAAGGAAATATTAAGGGCAAAATATCATGGAGAAATTTTCTTGGAGGATTGAGACAGGAACTCATAAGAGATCATTTACAACTGAGGAAAAGCAAAATGTTTCTGCTCAGAAAACTACACAAAAAACTGTGGAGCACACTAGTGAGCTGACAGGTGAATATGCTGGTGCTGCATCGCAAAGACCTACTACAGCAGCAGGAAAACAAAAAATTTGTCAACTGTGCCCTACAAGAAAGGAAAGGAAAACAAAACATATGTGCCATCAATGTAAGCAGTACTTGTGCATGGAACATGCAGTTGTCATATATGAAGACTGCCTTGGGTGTGACAGTTGAAGCAAAGATTATTTTTCCATTAGACTTTGATTTGTATTTACACTGTAGTTCACATAGGTTTTTATTTCTGATTGTTTTTAGGTTGTGTAAGCAAGTAAACAGCTGTTGTTAAAATGTTAATGTATATTCTAAGCACTCATTACATATTTGACATTTTATTTTATTGCTATCTTATTTTCCTGTACATTGTACAATATAGTAGAAAGCTCATGACAAAAGAGGACGACAAGAGAGGTGAAAAGAATGGCCTGCCACACAAGAAAGGAAAGCTAAGCACATGTGCTGTCAGTGTAAGCAAGATGTGTGCATGGTACATGCAGTTGTCATGTGTGAAGACTGCCTTGAGTGAGACAGTTGGAGAAAATATTATTTTATTTGTAGAAGTCTATTGGTATTTTCATTATAATTCATATAGGAATTTTGTAAAAATGTTGACATTTATTCCTAAATATATAATACATATTAAGAACTTAATACTTTATTTTATTGATGTTTTATATTCCTGTTAAATACACATTGTAAAATATAATAAGAATCTTCTGACAAATAGCAAGACCAGAAAGATGTCAAGTATGTCCTACAAAAAGGCCAGGAAAGGGCCAGGGATTTAGCTTAGTGGTACAGTGCAAGGCCCTGAGTTCAATCCCTGCCCCCCCCCAAAAAAAGGTCAGGAAAGCAAAGCATATGTGCTGTCAGTGTAAGCAATACATGTGTATGGAACAAGCTGTTGCCATGTGTGAGGACTGCCTTAGGTGTGATAACTGAAGTAAAGATTATTTTTTTGTAGAGTGCTATTGGTATGTTCATAATAGTTCATATAGGAACTTATTTGTTGTTGTTATTTTTTATACTTTGTATGCCAAAAAACAATCAATGTTGAAAAACTTAGAATGCTTTTTTATGAGCACTCAATACTAAAAATTCATACTTTATTTTTTTGATATTTTTCCTGTTAAGTACTCATTGTTTAGTATAATAAAACTCACAAGTTAAAATTAATAATTCATCAATAGAAATAATCTAAAGAATAAACATAGCTATTATGCACCACAACAATGCACCTTTGTGACAAAATTGACATATGCCAGTTATGTCCTGACAAGTGTGCACCACCACACTCAGTTGGGAAAAGTAGAACATCTTTACCTGAACTAATCTCTTGCCAAAACATAAGATTTAAATTATGGACATGGGCAATACACTGCAGCAGAATTAGCAATACATGCCGATGACTTGCTCATCAATATAAATCATGTATATTATTTATATCACACTACTACTGTAGAACTTGAATATGGTTGGTGTTCACTGGTATTTTAAATCTATTACTTTCTAAATCCTTATTTGCTTATTTATTTATTTATTGTTTTTTGGTCCTTGCACTTGCCAGACAAGTGTCAGAACCACTGAACTAAATCGCTGGCCCTCTAAATTTTCCTTTAGATTAATGTGTTAATAGGAAAACATGCATATTTTTATATCACACATTTCTTATTAGACATTTGGTATTTGTATTTTGATATAATTGATTTCCTTTAGACTTAATGTATTTTATGCATTTAAAACCTTATTCTATGCCAGGGTCTGTAGGCTTCATTAAACTCTCAAAAAAGTGCATGATACAAAAAAGTAAATAATTCCTGTTACCAGGTAGCTCTTCAATTCAGCATTACTGATTTCTGGGTGTTTGCCTGTCCCTCTGGAGTTAGATTTCAGGTTCTCCTCTACTTGAACAAAAAATTGAACAAATTGAGCAAAAAGCAGTGACTAAGTTTATTTGAAAAAGTAAATGAAGAGTGAGGGAGAAACTGGCTCTTCAGAGTGAGTTTGGGCTGAGTAAAAGGAGAAAAAGCAATAAAAAAGATACCCTAGAGAAGGCAGGGTGGGCTACCACGAAGAAAGTTACAACAGCCAGCTAAAACCATGGTGATAAAAACCTGTAATCCCAGCACTTGGGAGGCTGAGGCAAGAGCATCATAAGTTAAGGCCAGCCTGGGTTATATGGAACTTGAGGCTAGCCTAGACCACATAACAAGACCCAGTCACAAAAAACCCAAAAAAGTTAAATTAATAAAATAAAATAAAATCATGCTGAAACAATAAATCCTTAACAAGAATATGAGTGATGCATTAAGATGTAGGGACCAGTGAGGACCAGCACCCCTGCCTTCATCAAGTGGACCAGTGAGGACCATTCAGCTGCACAGGAGCCTCTGCAACATATCCCACCTCCCCTCATGCTCTCCAGCCTCCTGGTTGTGCTAGTTCCTGGATCCCTACTACAAAGACACAGGTGGTTATGAAGGTCATTTTACTGAGCTCCAGAAGATACAACAAAAGTAAACAACTGCAATAAAAGCACATCAGACCTCTCTAGTTGGTAAGTTGGAGGGATCACCACCTCCCATCAGAACGTTGACTATCTTCAGGGAAAGGGCAGAGGGAACCTTTAGTAGAACCTTGCAGAGTTCAACCCTGCAGGAGGTCAGGGAGCTCAACTTGGGCCATGCAGACAGAAATCAGCCTGAATCTCAGGGGTCTGCTGGTGGCTAGCTAGACTAATTGACTTAGTTCTGCACATTCCAGACCACATTGTTTGTTGTGACAGCAGAGATCCGGCTGAAAGAGGCTCTTCAAATTATTTTCTGGTTTCTTTTCCTCATATTTTTCATTTTTAGTTTAAAATTTTTATTTTTTCCCATTCCGTGAATTCTTTTTTTTGTCTTCTTTTCCCACTCAGTCTCTTCCTCCCTCATGTTACTCTTCATCTCCCTTTTCATTTCTGTTCCTGCCCTGATTTGGATTTCTTCTTTTTTCTTCTTTTCTTCTCTCTTTTTCTTTCACTCGAGTATCATTAGTTTCAAAGGAAAGTGAGTCCCTATTACTGTTAAGGTGTACTTTTCTTGTGTTTGTTCTTGCACTCTGTCTCTCCTTCTTTTCTTCAACAGTTTCCTAGTATTTGCATGATCATCCTGTGTCTTCTGGCTTCATTTGAAACCTTCTATTCTTCTACCTATCCATTTCAATCCTCCTAACTCCTTCTAAATCCCCATTCTAAAGGGCAAAGTTGCTATATTGAAGAGTTTATGCACTATAAGCATATTGTGGGCTGCACCTCAATTTTGATTTAATCCACATGGTTTAAAAGTGATAGATTAATAACTACCCCAAATGGTCGATTTTTTAAACTGTGCTTGATACTATTGTGTTGCTGATTGTATCAATTGGGCTAAAGGGTTGTGATTGATTTAATGAGTTGTCCTTTCTGATAGTATGAAAATGAGAGTGTCTCTGAGTCATTTAGAGACTCAAAACCTGAAGAGCAGCTATATCAGGAAGATCAAAATAAAAATGAGAAAACACTTAAGCAAGACACAAAGACAGACTTCCAGTTAACCAATGACAAATTCTAGGGGAAATGAGGTGGAAAAGTCTGACAATCAACCACCAGGACACCCTAAACTCAACACAGGAAGTAGCAAAACAGATCAATCAGGCTCTAGAAAAAAATCAAAGCAGAAACCATTTCCCAGATAACTATAGAGATGGTAAGCACAATGAAATACATGATTAGAGACTCAAGAACAGAAACAGAAAAAAAAATAGATGAGCTCCGGACCATGAGAGAAGCCACAAATTCCCAGCATAGAAAAGAAATGGAAACCATGAATGCCCAACATAGGAAAGAAAGGGAATCCATAAAACAGATTCAAACAGATATCCAGGAGATTACAACTCTATTAAGGGCCAGGGATTTAGCTCAGCAGTTCCGCCGCCTGCCTTGCAAGCTCAAGGACCAGAGTTCAATCCCCATTACCAAAAATAAATAAATAAATAAATAAATAAATAAGTAAAACTCTATTCAAAGTTCTTGCAGCAGGATAAATGAATGTGAAGACAGAATTTCAGGAATAGAAGATAGAATTGCAGTCAGTGACTGTGAAAAGAGAGATCTCTTCAAAACAGTAAGGGATCATGAGAAATCAATTCAACAACTCCTAGATGATGCAAAAAAGAATAACATAAGACTTCTAGGAATCCATGAGGTAGCAGGAGAAAATACAAATGACTTAAAAAAGCTCTTCTCTCTCCTATTGTTTCCTCTTCTTTAAAATGGACACAATAGTGCTGACTTAGGCAGCACATACACAAAAATTGTAACGATACAGAGAAGATTAGCATGGCCCATGAGCAAGGATGCCACACAAATTCATGAAGCATTCCATATTTGGGGTTTTTCTATAAAATGGAGTACTACTCACCCATAAAGAATGAGAAACTAGAGTCATTTATAGGAAAATGGATGCCTGTTGAGGCTATAGACTTAAGTGAAATAAATAGGACACACGTGTAAATACTGAATAGTTTCTCCGGTGTGAAAAACTAAAAGTGTAAATAAGGTTCAAATTGTACAATTGATAATGTGAAATAGGAAGAAAAGGGCTAAAGGAGTATGGGAAGTGGGAAAGTTTGGGGAAAGGAAAGAAAGGAAAAGAAAAAATAAGAGAAAAGGAAAAATGGAAATAAAGTATTTGTAAATAGGGAAGGGAGGAGGGGGTGAAGGGAGGGCAGGGACAAGGGGAGAAAATGAGAACCAAGGCCTGTCATGTAGAGGTACAAGATCCCAACAATGAATGTAAGTGTACTGTATCCCTAAAATGTACCAATAAACTCAATGAGGAAAAATAAATAAATAAAATGGGCACAATAATTTAATTCTCTAGTTTGTTTTATTTATTTGTTTGAAACAGGGCCTCATTCTGTTGTTCAGGCTGGCCTTGAACTTGCCTCAGCTTCCTGAGCATTGAGATTACAGGGGTGCATCCGGCTTCTAGTTGGTTTGTTTTGAGGATAAAATGAGATAACATGTATAAGGCTCTTTGCACAGTGCCTTGGCATCTAGAACACCCAATAAACGGCAATTTTTAAAATTGTTGTTGTCGTTAAGAGGCTATATTCATGATTACTGTCAGGTTTCCTTTATTATTAGTGACTTCTTGTCCTAATATTAGCAGATTGATTGCCTGACCTTGTTTATCTGTTTGTTTGGGGTGTTTTGGGGGGTTGCTTTGTTTTGCTTCATTGCTTGGGATGAACCCAGGGCCTCTTACGTGCTAGGAAAGTGCTCTGCCTCTGAGCCACACCCACCACACCTTATTTAAAAAAATTTTTTGTTAAATTTTGAGACAGGATTGTCTCAAATTTGTGATCCTTCTGCCTCAGCCTCCTTAGCAGTGGGAATTACAGGCCTGTGCCACCATACCTGGTTTCTGATCTTGTCTGTGTCTAGCAAAGGGGTCCAATGGTCATGAAGAATTGCCAAAATGAATCGTGGTGTAGACCAACATTCTCAAGACTATTTGCCTCCAAATACTGCAGGAAAATTGCAAGAGTACTACAGTGTTGCAGAACACTGCAAGGTGCTGTGCCACCAAAGGGTTCTGTTGACAATTAACGTGGAGAAGCTAGAGTCTTGCCTTGTAAATCCATAGCACACATCACCACTGTGGAATCTCTAAGTCCCACAAGAAACACTTTTGGCTGGGCGTGGTGGCACACACCTGTAATCCGAGCACTCGGGAGGCTGAGACAGGAGGATCACTGTGAGTTCAAGACCAGCCTGGCTACATAGTGAGTTCCGGGTCAGTCTCAACTACATAGTGAGACCCTGTCTCAAAAAAAGAAAAAAAAAAAAAGAAACACTTTTGTTTAACCCCTATTTTCCAACTCATTTGCTAATGGGGCCTCTATTCTCTCTCCCTTTCTCTCTCTGGTATGCATGCATGTGACACCTCAACACTAATGGAATATGCTCCAAAACAAATTTTTTGAGAAATCAACCCAGCCCCTTTTCACTTTGGAAATGGGAGACTCCACGGGGAAAACTCTCTCCCAAGGCCACACAGTAATGCACATGTAGGCCTAGGTTCCAGGGACCCCAGTCCTCGTGCCCTCATTTTTTGCAGTACCGGGAATCGAACTCACGACTTTGCTCTTGCCAAACAGGTGCAGTGCCACTGAGCTACATCCCCTGCTCTCTTGTGTTTTCTTTTAGCAAAGTCTATGTAAGTAGTAACCTTTGTGCTTAGCTACATTAACATGCAGTTTATATGGATGAGTAAACTATATGATACATTTGAAAGTTCAAGGACAAGAACGTTTTATAGTAGCCAGAAATTTTGTATTGCAAAGCATACAGTTTTTACAGCGTCCTCACTACGGGGGTTTCTGCTCAAAGGCCTTAGTCAAGGACTTTAGGCCACACAAAGAGAACATGAGCTCTGGAGCTTACACAAAATGATCGCGAGAGGGCGCTCGTTCCTAAACGGTATCAGTTTAAAGCCCTCTGAGTAGGAACGCAGACTCCAAATTAGCTCTAAGGCTCGCTGGAGTAGAGATAAAACACTGTGTCTGGAAGTATGATAATGTTCAAGATATTAAAGCCATGGAGGAGAGATTAGGAAAGAAAAGGAAGGGCTGGGAATTTAGCTCAGGGGCACCAGGACTGCTTTGCAAGCGAGCGCAAGGTCCTGAGTTCAATCCCCAATACCTGCCACAAAAAAGGTCAAATAAGATTATATAAATATACAAAACTTCTGTTTCATAATCAACAACCAAGATTAACAAGGAAAATTGTAACGTGGAGTTTCTCATACATAGGAATAAAAGGTCAACTTGAAATATATAATGGGTTACATAGCATGCAATTCATTATATATTATAATGATATACATACATATAAACTGCAGAAACCTATGAAACCACCACATCTCCCAAAACTAAAATGTCATATTCGTATTAGAGGAAATAATACAGAAATGATAGCTGCTGCTGTTTATTAAGCACATACTATGTATTAGATATCTTATGCCCACTTTTTAACACTTACGCCTCATCATTTGTACCCATTAGGAAGCTGAGTCATAACATCTTAGTAACTTGTTCATCTGTGAAATACAAGAGACAGCTGAGACTCTGGGGGTCCCATGCAGAGAATCCAACTACTCTTCAGTTCTCCATGCCTTGTAAGACTGCTGCCTGGTGCTCACTTACCTTTCCAGCTTTCTCTTTCTTTTCTTCTATTTTCAATATTGAAGATCGAACCTAGGGGCAATCTACCACTGAGCTACAGCTCCAGCCCTCTTTCTTTCTCTCTTTCTCCCTTCCTTCCATCACTCTGTTGCCTGAATAGGCTGTGTTTTCTGCATAGAACTTCTCTCCCAGCCCCTCTCTCCAGGGTCGGTCTGTTTAGTTCAGGCTGGCTTTCAACTCACTATGTAGCCCATTTGGGCCTTGAACTTGTGCTGACCCTCCTGCCTCAGCCTCCCAAGGGCTGAGATTATAGGCGTGCACCACTACTCCTTGCCCAGCTCAATCCTACTCTTCCTAACTTGGCTCAGACTCCATTCCTTGCAGAAAGCCTTCTCAGCTCTCCATGCTGGAATCTAGGTGACCTTCCTTCCTGCAGCTGTCACGGTCCCCATCCCACCACTGCCCATTTACAGATTCCTGTGCTTCTGCTAGCCTTGGAGTTCAGGGTGAGCAGAGCCAAGCTCTGCCTTGCCCCGGTCACATTTTCAGCTCCTGGCACAACACCTGCACACAGAAATTTCCCTATGAGCAGGAAAACCCCTCTGCTGGAGAGAGAGCACTGCCTCTCTCTCCCTCTTCCCCTGCCCCCCCCACTAGGAATTGAACCCAGGCCCCCATGCATACTAAGCACCTGATCTCACTGAGCGACATGCTCAGGCCAGCTCGAGACATTTTGTAGAGTGCAACAAGGCATGTGGAAGGTGAATGTCACCAACCCTGTCATCTTGGTCTCTGGCGCTGGTGGTTCATGAGATATATTTGCTGTGATTTTGCTTAGGTTTGAGTAATTTAATGACTTATTATTATATCTGATATAAAAGCAACAAGAGTGTTGAAATTCCTAATGAGATATAACATAGGGTTACAATAGAAATTAGAGACAAACAAATATAAAATTCCCAACGTTGCACAAAAATACATATAATTACTTGAAAGGTAGTAAACATTGTGATGGCTTAAATACTAGATCCCTAGGTCCTGCGAAGTGGGAGGAATGCTGTACCTATGAAGGCAAAAAATAAGCAGACTAATAAAGAAGCATTCATTTTGACTGACTGAGAAAATGAGTGTCCTGGGCTCACTTTACAGCTCCTTACTTGGGGTGAGGGCGGTGTCAGAGTGGACCGTAACATCCCGGCCCACCTTCCAGAAATCCCTTTTTGTGGTCACTCGTGACACTACTGCCTTGAGATTCTCTGGAAATTATTATTGTGACATCTTGAATTTAAACATGTATGGCAGGGTCAGAATGATCAATTTTTATGAAGGAGGAGCGCATCCTTAAAAAAAAAAATCTGGGCTAGGGATTTAGTTCAGTAGTTCTGGTGCCTGCCTCACAAGCGCAGGGACATGAAGGTAAGGCCTTGGTGTCCCTCATTTTTTACATGAAAACACGGAGGCACGAGAAGGGCTCTGGGTCCTACGAGGTAGTGGCACAGGTAAGAGCAAATCCATGCCTTGTGTCTCCGAGCTCAGTGCTCTTTCTGGGTCACTAGAATGTTGTTTCCCACTGGTTGGCTAAAGGGGAAGCCGGGCCTTCTTAACTGCGTGGAGTTTGTGCTGGGGTGAGGCGAGGAGGGCTTGGCTTGCTCTGTTGGTGGAGTAAGGAAGGAAAGGAACAGCAGAGTTGTTAGAGGGTATCCTTCAGGCAGCTGAGAGGTGACACTAGATGGACATCTGGAGTTACGCAAAGGAATGGAGAGCACTGGACATGGTAACTACTACTTCAGTAAAATATACGAGGTTTCTTCCTCTTTTTTTTTTTTTTTTTTTTTTGTCTCTTGG